CTGGCAAAGGAAGCACCACAGGGTGACAGGGAGCAGAGAACCTCGGTGGCCCTGCTCCAGCTCAGCAGGGAGGGAGGAGGTTCGCAGGGGCCTGAGCAGCTGGGGAAAGGCTGGTCCTTCTGATCCCCCGGAACCTTCCGAGATACACTCTTGTAGCTACGGCTCTGAGGCCAAGAACCTGCCCAGGTCCCACAGCAGGTGAGCAGGGGAGGTGACACCGGGTGTCGGTCCAGCTGACCCCACGCCTCTGGGTCAGCGGCTCCTGATTCCTTCAAGGCCACCAGGCTGCAGAGTCAGCTGGGGGCCCTCACGGAGCCCCTCCCCACCCTGCAGTCGGGGGACAAGAGGCGGACGCAGCCTGCCACCTTCAAGCTCGGATTCTCTACGTTTCCGCTTCACGTCACCCGTCCATCCCACCGTCCCACCTCGGCGTCGCCCCAGCCGGGGGAGCCCGAGCCAGACTCACGTATTTATGTCATGTCCCCGACTTGGGGGTGTTCCTTAAGCAAATTAACAAATTACTCCAACTGCACGGTTTCATTTATCTCCCAACTACCGACTACCGGGGATCGGGGAGTGAGCACGAAGCTGTCAGCTCTCCCCTCGTCCTCCCACCTCAGCAGAGGAGGGAACTGAGGCTTCTCCCCTCCCAGGGAAGAGTGGGTGGGAGATGGGGGGACAAGGCTCCTGTACACAAAGCCAGGTGGGGAAAGGAGCCACGAGAGGCTGCACGATACCCTCAAATCCCGTCCGGGCTCTCCCTTCCCGGCAAAGTGGGCGCCGTGCCCCTCTGAGCTGGAGGCCCAGCCACAGACACATCTGTCTGGATGGCCACCTGAACCTGGCAATTCGCCAGCTGTGTATGACGTTCACAGACGCTCAAGCGTAGGTATCCCCATTTTGCATCTGGGAAAAGCCGGGCTCGGCGAGGTTGCCTAAGTTTTCACAAATCAATAATAAAGTGACTCGTCACCACAGAGGACGCTGGACACGTGACAGACCCTGTGGCTCGGCCTCATCAAAACTCATCTTGACCTGGCCCCCCAAACTATCGTGCGCACTGCCTTCTCCAGATGGACCTGCTCTCTCGCTAGGGGAGCCAGAACCAAGGCTCTGGAACAGCCTGACCATCCTGGAGGAGTGTGGAGAAGTCCCCTCCTCTGTTCCAGAACTGCTACCTCTGTTGTTACAGCCTGAGGCTGCATTAGCTTTCAGGTGGTCACATCATCCTGCAGCTCTTACAACCTGACCGGATAAAACGCCCAATGGCCAATCATGACAGGCTTTCTTGCGTGGCGTCAGCTCCCCCCTCTTTATCTGTGCAGTGAAGGAGGGGGGCGTTTAGGGGCTGATTAATTTGCAGGGGCTTTGTGGGTAAAAAGACGTGATGAATACAAAGTCGTCAGCACACAGAGGAAATTAATGCTCTTCCCTTTATCCCTTCCTGCTGCTGTCCCTCCTGGCAGCAAAGAAGCGGGCTGGCATGCAGGGGGGCCTCCCCGGAGCCTGACAAGGTGCCAGAGGTGCCCGAACCGCGAGAGGGAGGTGTCCTCCGGGCAGGTGTCGGGGCGGCCGTGCTGGCCTGGTGAAGAGAGGGGACAGATGGGTCCAAGTGCTTTTCCCTACTCACCTCCCCTCATCAGCCCAACAGAAGCAAAGAATCCAGTCAGCCTATCGCAAAAGCCCATCAAGCCACACACTCGCTTCCTTCCCTGGGGCCTGTTGTAACACCACCCCACGCCCTGGTCAGCTGTCCACAAGCTCTGATCCAGCAGGAGCCCTGTTCTAGACCCTGGTGAGACACCGTCGGGGACCCTCTGGGGAACAAGACTGAGTCAC